TGTACCTTAGGATGGCTGTTGGTGAGTTTTTAAGATCCCAGTCACTACTCACCAAAGTAGAATGTTGTTGCTGCTGTTGTTAAATGCCATCAAATCGGTTCCAATTCATAGCAACCCTGTATGGGGTTTCCGAGGAATGGCTGGTGAGCTTGAACCACTGACCTTGTGGTTCAAACCAACCTTGCAGTCCAGCTCATTAACTAACATCGGCACACTTGTACTCTAAAGTAGCATTCTATCTGTGGCCTTCATTATGCCAATTAACCATGGTGTCCCTTGAGACTATGGTCTTGAGCCCCCAGGCCCAGCAACTCATTACCTCAAGGTGTTTGGTAATGTCTCTGTCAAACCATTATGTATTTGTGGGTATGCTCCCATTCTCTCTCCCATACCCATTCAGCCTGTGTATCTGTCCATGTATCTACTTGCAGAACACTGTTATTTTGGGAGTGTGTATATAACATTTACCTTTGTCCCCTTTAATTTTTGGATTCTTCCCTATGTCTTCACATGTCTTCCTCATTCTTCTGCCAACCACCCTCCTATTACATGTTGCCTCCACTGTTACCCAAGTAAACATCTGGATTTTCTCCCCTCTGGCCCCTGGTAACAATCAAAGAATGTTTCTTTTAGCATGAAAACCTTTTCTTGAGTTTTTACAATAGTGGTCTTATGCAATATTTCTCCTTTTGTGATTGACTAATTTCACTCAGCATAATATCCACCAGGTTTATCCACATTATGAGATGTTTCACAGATTCATCGTCATTCTTCAATGTTGCCCAGTATTCCATTTGAGTATGTACCAAAGTTTGTTTATCCATTCTTCCATTGATGAGTATTAAGGCTGTCTCCATCTTTTTTGCTATTGTAACCAATACAATAATAAACATGGATATGCATATATCTACTCATGTCTATTCTTATTTCTTGGGGATATATGACAAGTAGAGGAATTACTGGGTCATACAATATCACTATTTCCAACTTTTTAGGAACATTTTCCATCATGGTTGCACCATTTTACAGTCTCACCTGCAATGTAGGAGGGTCTCAGAATCTTGACACCCTTGCCAGCATTTGTTCTAAACTTTGCTTTTAATGTTGAGGTGGGATGATAGCTCATTGGTTTGATTTGCAAAATTCTAATGACTAATGATTGTAAAAATTTCTTCATGGTTGTTGGCCACCTGGATGTCTGTTCATGTCCTATGTCCATTTTTAAAATTAGATTATTTCTCTTTTTCTTGTAGAGGTCTTATAGTTTTCTATTAATTTTAGAGATGTTTGATACAATGGTGTTTGATACACCATTGTAAAAAGAAAATGTTCCCAGACTATGGACTCACTTTTTATTCTTTTGGCAAAATATTTTGATGCATATAAGTACTCATTTTTAGGAGGTCCCAGTCATCAATTTTTTCCTCTGCTGTCTGTGTGGTTTTAGTTTTGTTTGATAGTATATTTATGCCATGTTTCAGAGTCCTAACTTAGGCACTATTTTTTTTCATTGATGATCTTTATGGTTCTAGGTTTTACATTTAGGTCTTTAATCCACATTGGGTTTGTTTTTGTCTTTGGTGTGAGATGTGAGGCAATTAAATTAACAACAGCAAAGTTAGGGAAATAGTTCAGATGTTATTGGAAGATGTTATTTTAAAAGAAATAACATGCATTTTCCTTATTCAAGTATGTGCTTGTTGTTATTAAGTGCTATCGAGTTGATTCTGGCCCATAGTGACTCTGTATAGGGTTTCCAAGGAGCAGCTGGTGAACTTGAACCACCGACCTTGCAGTTCAAACAACTTTGCAGTCTGATGCATTAGCCCACAGCGCCACACCAGGACTCACACACAAGTATGTGTATCCTAGTTTAAAAATAAAGAAAGAAACTTCTCTAGGCACTTCCCCTTTCAATTTTTCCATCTTTTTTCCTTTCCTACTCCTACCAAAAATTTCAATAAGGTTTTCCATATTTGTCTTTATATATTATTTGGTTTTCAGATGACTACGATGTAGTTTCTATCCTAACAAACCGAATCAAGTGGCCTTTATGTTATTCAATTTTTCATCATCATCATTAGTTAATCTCTTAGCTTTTTAATCTCCTTTCATTTCTTTATCCCTTCTGAATTCTCTTTCTAAACTTCCTTTTCTGGCTCTTCCTCTGCCTATTTTCTCTGTTTTCATACCTCTGTCCCTGCTTCTCTGCTCTAGCTCCATACATTCCCTAGTGGTTTCATTTAATCTCTTTGGACTGATAGTCCCTGCACTTTAAAAAGATTGATATGTTGGTAACCTCTTTCTGAGCCCTATAGAGTTGTACTTTTATTGTGAATTAAGTGGTAGTTTACATTGTAGAAGATCAGTTTTGCACTCAGCCAACAGTATTTTCATTGCAATGATTACAATCCCCGCCATGCACCATCAGTTAACAGTATTTGCCTCTATTCCTTGTTTTTTTTTTTTTTTTTTAATGTACACCAAAACATGCAGAAATATATCATTGTTTAAACAACCAAAGGGCACATTTTGCAAGTCATCCCACCAGTACACAGCCTTTCTCTTTCCATGAGTCTAGAGTCCTCAGCTGCTCTATCTCCCCATATCATCATCTCTGCCTCCACCTCTGGTGTTCCTGATGCTCTGGACAGGGTCCCACATTCTTCCTCTGGTGTTACTGCTTCTTTGGTTAGGATCCCACGTTCCTCTCTTGCTCTTTCCTCTTGATGGTCCTAGGGTCCACTGTCCCTAGAATACAAGATAAACTACTGCCCTCTTTTTGTCACACAACTTCTACCTTTACAGGTATGACAATCTCAATTAGTCACGATAACAATTACTTTTGAATCAAAATCATCCTATCCCCATCTCCTTTCACCATACCCATCTATTGTTGTTAAGTGCCATCGAGTCGGTTTCGACCCATAGCGACCCTTTACAGGGTTTCCAAGGGTATAAATCTTTACGGGAGTAGAAAGCCTCATCTTTCTCCCGCGGAGTGGCTGGTAGTTTCGAACCACTGACCTTAAGGTTCGCAGCCCGATTCGTAACCACTATGCTATAGACCAGATGAAAACTATTTGGTGGGAATTCTACACCCCGCCCCCTCCTTGCTGAAATTCCCTCTTGAAAACTTGTAATCCAGCCACTTTTTGCCTTTATAGCCCCCCTATTATTGGTAACTCTATAGAGTTTTGCATCTCTATAGTGTATTTTTCACCTCTACTTGAAAGTCCAAACTGAATTCTAATTTTAATATGTCCAAAAGGCATATCTTTACTTCCTTGACTATACTGGTTTCTATAAAGTTTCCCAGCTTCAGAAAATGACTTCATCATTCACCCTGTTTTTAAGCCAAAAATCTAAGAGCCATCCTTTATGGTTTTTTCCTACTCTCATATGCAACTTATCTACGTACCCTATATTTTCTACCTCCAACGTAAATCCAAATTAATTCATAGCACATCTTTCCTTGCTAATACCACTCTAGACTAAGACATCTTTAAAAAAATTTTTTTTAATAACCATGTTCCCTTGTGAACTAGCTTCATTCTTTCCCTCCCTCTCCCCTATTACCCACACAACTTGACTCTTTTGTCTTCCTTCCTGGTTCACAAACAAGCCAAATGCTTGCCCCTCAAGTTTTACTTTTCCTCAAGTAGCCCACCACCTATTCTATCACTTCATCTTGCTTACTTTTACCTTAGAATTTAAAACATTCTATAAGTATTTACCTGTTTTCTAGTTTAAGTTTCCATCCTAACTAGAAGGTAAGCTTGATCAAAGCAGAGATTATGTCTTTTTTAGTTCATGGCTACGTCCCATTAAATAAAAGAAGGAGTATTTGACACTTAGTAGGCATTCGATGAATAGTTGTTAAATAACTGAAGTGAATCATTGAACTCAAATTCCAATGAGATTCCCTAACCTTTTCATTTCTCCCCAAACAATTCCTCTTTAATCATCAGTGGCAGCTTAAGTGCTCGTTAGTTGCCCAAGACAAAATTCTTACTTTATTCATTTACTTTTGGACATTTTATTTTATTGTAGTAAGTATACAGCCCACTAGCTGCTGCTGGAGAGAAAGATGAGACTCCATGGCACTTAACAACGATAACAACATACAGGTAAAGAAACATCTGCCATTTTATCCATCTTCATATGTACAGTTCTTGTTATTAAATATGCTTCTCATGTTGCTTAACCATCCTGTTCCTATTTATTTACTTTTGATTCTGCCTGGGACTATTGATCCATTTCCTGAATAACAATTGTTTTAACAGATGCTTTAGCACGAAGTTAATAGGTAAAAGATATATCAGAATGCTGACATAGTTAGTCCTAAGGTCTCCTGACTAATGCCGTCAATGCCTAAACAAATGATGTCCATCCATCAATCATTCCTCTACTTCCTGCAATTGAATCTCTCTGGAGGAATCATTAGATCTTCTCAATCTGGAAGACTGACAACAAGTCTCTGTGGACTCCCTAACTCTATTGCAGAAGGGAGGGTCCTTGACACTAAGATTTTAAAAGCCCCAATTTCAGAACAAGATTAGCTAAAGCAATAGGTACAAAGTTCTCAAAGTGAACAGAACATGAAGGTAAGTCAAGATGTAATTTACTTGTGAGAAGTCTAGACTTTTTCATTATTTTATGCTCAATAGTAATTTTAAATGCTAAAGAGTATTTAAATAAAATGCCTTTAAAGCAGGGTAATTTGATTTTATTTTTAAGTTATTTTAAAAAGTTCATTAAATTTACCCATTTCCTCATTTGTGTGAGGGAATGAAAAGAATATCTTTCTAAAAACTTTTAAAAATAGGGACTGTGGATCTTGCTAAAAACTTTTAAAAATAAAAGATGGGTTGGGGAAACATTCCCACTTAATATCAAAGTAGAACATAGTTGCGAGGAAGGGTTTGCAATTACCATTAAGAATGGAAACAAAGACCCTATAGGCACAGAAATGACCCCTTTGGTTGATTGGTCCATCCATGTAGGGACTCCGAAGTCTGGCGGTAACAACCTTGGCTCTTTTCCTGGTGTTCTCTTCCATGGGAAACTCCAGCAGCGCCCCGCAGGTAATCAAATGCAAATAACGTTTGGACTGCAAACTCACGCTTTGCTTTTTGCTTATAAGACAGGGGCCTGGGCCACGTTGTCTAATTCACTGCTTTTCTCTTGTGTTGTAGAGACTCTTAAAGAAAAGGAATTGGACCCCGCAAGCTTTGCTGTACCTGAAGGGTTCACGTAAGTTCCTAATAACTTTGCTTTTCCTACGGCAGGGTGCGAGCAGGTTGCGGGCAGGGCGTGGGCAGCTGTGTTGGACTTCCTAGTTTTCTCCAAGACGCCTGACTCAATGCGGGCGCCGTGCCATCGCCTCCCCGCCAGACTGCACATAGCAGTATGCTAGGAGGCTATGGGTTAAGCCCCGATCGCCCCGGGTCAGGCGGGCCCTGAGTCCTGTGTCTCGCCTTTGCAGAGGGGCAGCTCGTTATCTCCGAAGAGAGCCTGAAGAAGGACCTTTCCGATCGGCTGCGGCTGGGTGAGTGATCTAGGGAGAGTGGGGTCTGGTCAGGCGCCTTAGAGCCTTAGACAGACAGGGTGCACCCCCGCGCCAACTAAAGTGTCTCCTCACCAGGAAAGACGTATCCCTAGGAACGCCCCGGGCCGAAGCCATCTCGGGCCGAGCCCAAGTTGGCGGCGGCGACCGGATCCCGAGGGACTGGGCTGGCATCTCGCTCCGCCCTGATTAAGGAAGGTGGAAAGGGCGGCTGGGGCCGAGGCTCACCAAACTTGATTGGGTCTCAGCCGCTCCGTTGGGCGGCGCTCTTGCCGCCTAGGTATGCAGGGGGCGCTGCGAGTTAATGAAAGATGAGCCAATGCCTGGGTTTCAGCTTTAGGGTTAAGGAGGGGGTGATTAGAACTGTTTAACAGCCTCTAGAGATGTACCTACTTCTTCATAACACTTCTAAAAGAAGTGTGTCCTCCTAATCATAATGATAATGAGAAGGACAGTGATGCAAAGTATAATTTGCCTAGAAACTCCAAATGTATGCTTTCTTGCATACCTCTGTTATATTCCTGAAAAAGCTACCAGAGGATCAATAGTCAAAAAGTGTGGGTAATTAAGGACCCTTATCTTTTTCATGCTAAACCTTTAACATGGCATTGGATGACAAGATAACTTGTGTTTAATTTTGGTAAAAGTTAAAAGATGGCACAAGCTTCAAACTTGAAGAAACTAATTTACTTTACCAAGGTAAAGTCACCAAGGTAATTTTTTTTTCTCCATTTCAGTTGCCCTAAATTTAAAACTCGTGATTTGTGTTACCTTAGATTTGAATATTTAGCAGATACCACTATACCTCCAGAGCCCTGGGGTTTGCAGTGGACTGTTCAGCAGATTGGTGGTTCAAACACACCAACTCTGCAGGAGAGAGGAGAGAGGCTGTCTGTGCCCATAAAGATTTGCAGTCTACTAGAAACCCTCTGGAACAGTTATACTCTGCCATATAGGGTCGCTATGAGTAGGAAGACTCAATGCAAAAGCCATGAGTTTTCAATGCGCCTAAGTTCAGCCAAAACTGTTTGTCAGTGGAGCTGTGTTGTGTTATGATGCTGAGCCCTTTCAGTGTAAGCTCCAGACAAAAATTGACTAGGAAGAAAGTCCTCACAATCTGCTTCCAAAATTCAGCAAGTAGAACCCCTATGTATCACAACTGTCAGATCCCGTTGTGCATAGGGTCACCACGAGTCAGAGGCCTGCTCACTGGTGTCTAGCAATAACTGTGGCTAAGGATGTAGATCATTGTCTCAAACTGTGTGGAAGGAAGAAAGAGGAGGTAAACCTTTCTGCCCAGAGAGAGATGTCATTTCATGCTGTAAAGAGGGAAATTTCCCATAGACTCTTTTTCATAATCTTCCTTGCTTTTATGAAATTCTCTCTAGTATATTCTTTAAATTCTCTTCCACACCCTGTAAAATGTAAAACATGAAACATCTAATGGTAAGTAATGTCCAAAAGAGGTATGAGTTATTTCAATTTATAAAAACCAATCTTCTGTAAAAAGAGGACTTTGCTTAGAGATTGAAAATCTGTTACATAGGGCTTCTAATTATTATATCAGACAATAACAGGATTTATCTGCACTAATGCTCAAATGCTAATAGAGTCTGTTTACACTTTTGCTTTTCCAGGAAAACGTAGCTCAGACCCCCAACCACTAACTCTTCCAGAAGCAGCAGTCGGCTTACTGACTTCTTTCCAGAAGAAACAAGAAGGTATAAGTATAGCGATCTCTTTCAACTCCAGGACAGAGCTGCTTTGCTGAGTTTTAGGATTCTGTGCTGAATGCAATAAAGCTAAACTGAATTATTCAGACAAAAAAAATGATTAGCAGTTTACCCTCCAGAAATTTATAAAGATGTTTAGTATAGAAAGAAAGTATATTCTTCATTAAAATGATTCCCAAGAATATAAAAAATATTTCCCTGGTGAGACTAGAGGATTTCATGTGAATTTCACAATCCATAGCCTACAATAGCTTTTATTTCTTATTTTAGAAATTATAAACATGGACCAATAAACTCTTAGAATTGAAAAGCTCAAAGTCCAACTTCCTTATATTATTGTTGAAGAAATTAAGGCCAAAAGAGGTTAACTAAACACAAATACCATCACTTGCTATTAAAAGTCAAATTAAATGAAATAGCTGAACATCAACCATTTCTTACTTACAAAAACAGCATTTTCATAGGCTTCTGATTCTAAGTCTGTGTTGTTTTCATTACATTATGCTGCTTCTTCTATACCAGGATTAGGTATTTGTAATTTACAAATGGAAACAGTGTTCAAATAGCATTAAAACAGATGAATTTAGACATTTTGGTAAGGAACTTTGGAGTATAAGAGGTGTGGGTTCAAATCCTAGCTCTATTTCTTCCTATCTGGGTAACCTGAACCCCATTGTCAGTAACAGTAAAATGAAACAATTATGGGAAACATAGTATATCATTTTATTAGTATTATGAAGGGCAGTCATCAAAATATGATGTATGAACTTCAGTTTTCCCTCTCAAAAATTGTAATGATGCCCCATTTGTAACATAATTTGGATTTTCAAATGTGTAAAAAATACAGTGATTGATCTGGCAGACAAAGCACGTGTTTCTGACTTAGTGTTCTGACAGCTTATAGTTCCTGTTATGGAAAATTGCTTATGACAGACAATGGAAGAGCGTGGGATAAAGAGGTAATTTGGAACTCAGAGCACGATTGAGGTTAATTCAGCAAATTGTATGTATTTATGACTGCTAGGTGCCAGACGCTATGGCAGACAGAGGAGAGAGCAGATGGAGCAAAAACAGTCATGAGAAGGACCTTTGCTGTGAGTCTAGAGGGTGAGTAGTCTCATTGTACCGTCGAATGTAGGATTGGTGGCTACAGAAGGCTACTATTGTTAAATGCTGTCAAGTCAGTTCCAACTCAGCAACCTGTATGGGGTTTCCGTGGTAGATTTGAACTGCTCACCCCACGCTTCGCAGTCCAGTGTTGATCTTACAGCACTACAGCAGGAGCCCTACAGTAGGGTTGCTGTTGTTGTTGTTGTTGTGAAGTACCGTGGAGCCTTCTCCCGTGGAATGGCTGGTAGTTTCGGACCTTGAGGTTAGCAGCACGATATGTAACCACTACGCTACCAAAGCAAGGAAGTAATATTTACTAAGCACTTATTATTATACTGCAAGGTGCCCTGGTAGCATAGTGGATTACCAGCTGAGCTGCTAACCTCAAGGTCCGTAGTTCGAATCTGCTAGTCACTCTGCAGTGAAAAAGATGAGGTTTTCTGCTCCCATAAAGATTTACAGCCTTGGAAATCCTACACGGAGTTGCTATCAGTTGGATCCATCTCCAAGGCACATAACCACCACAACCATTATGTTGCTGTGAGTCAGCCACTATTCTCAGCATTTGAACGGATTTATATATTTAATCTTCACAATATCCCCAGGGGGTAGGTGCTCTTAATGCCCACTTTTTATAGATGAGGAAGTAGAGGCACAGAGAGATGAAATAACTTGACTGCTATCAAGGAGTGATTGGCAGCATCAAATCATATAGCAACACAACTAATGTTAATGCCATCAAGTCGGTTCCGACTCGTGGTGACCCTGTGTAGGATTTCTGAGGTTGCAGGTACAGAAGGCCTCATCTTTCTCCCATGGAACAGCTAGTGGTCTTGAACCTCAAACCTTGTGGTTCCAGTCCCGTGCTTATCATATGAATGCTGAAATTAAATGGGAAAAAGAAGATCTTGGCTGGCAGGGAACATTTACTAGTGGTTCACAAGACTGCCTCCTCCCTCCCCTGAGTGACATGATTTGCTGTGGCTATCCTCCTTTTAAAAGGGGCTCTGGTAGCGTAGTGGTTACCGAATTGGGCTGCGAACCACAAGGTCAGCAGTTCGAAACTACCAGCCATTCCGCGGGAGAAAGATGAGGCTTTCTGCTCCCATAAAGATCTACAGCCTCGGAAACAGGGTCGCTATGAGTTGGAACCGACTCCACGGCACATAACCACCACCACCACCATACTCCTTTTGAAACACTATGTAGAGGCAAATTAGGATGACAAGGTAAAGAAAACACAAACACTCACATTTTAGAGAGTTGCCATGGCTCTCTCATTTTCAGAACCTTTGCAATGCATGAAGAGAGAACAAGTTGACTTGTGGGAAGAGGATGTTGTAACCAAGGTGATCTTTTTTAAACTCATGATTTGGAACACTTAGTCATATTTTAGGAGCCCTAGCTGGTGGCACAGTAGTTAATGCACTTGTCTGCTAACCAAAAGGTTGATAGTTTGAATTCCCCAGCTGCTCCAAGGGAGAAAGTTAGGCAGTCTGCTTCCGTAAAGACTTACAGCCCTGGGAGGCCTATGGAGCAGTTCTACTTTGTCCTATTTGTTTGCTTTGAGTCTGAATCTACTTAACAGCAGTGGGTTTGGTTTAGGTGTACCCATTTTTTAAAGAATCCTGGTGATGAAATGGCTAACCACTAGCCTGTAACTGAAAGATGAGTGGTTACAACCCATCAGCCACTTCGTGGGAGAAAATACCAGGCAATCTGCTCCCCTCAAAGAGTATAGTCTAAGAAATCCTATAGGGCAGTCATCCAGGGGTGCTATGATTCAGAATTAACTGTACAGCATACAACAACAAAAACAACATTTATATGTGAAGGCAGTAGAGGGAGAGCTCTGGGGAAGACAGGTTGATAGTAAAATTGCTGATGTGATTGATTATTGGGGAGGAGTATAGAGCCAAAAAGGAAGGTGAGCTCGAATTGAGAAGGAAGAGCTAATTTTAAAGAGCAAGAGTAGCTAATTTTCATTGAAAATTTTAGGGCAGGATTAGATTGTATGTCCCCATTTCAAATTCCTTTTAACTATCAAAGATTTCTAAGTGGCTTATCTCAATAATGAAATGAGGCAATCAAATTGTGCTAGTCCAAATTGCTAGAAAAATTCAAGGTTCCCAAAGGATTAGTGGTTACGAATTCGGCTGCTAATGAATTCAGGGTCAGCAGTTCGAAACTACCAGCTGTTCCGTGGGAGAAAGATGAGGCTTTCTGCTCCCGTAAAGATTTATAGCCTTGGAAACCCTGTACAGGGTCACTATGAGTTGGAACCAACTCCATGACACATAACAACAACAACAGTCTCCTTTGGGTTAATGCGCCAGACTGCAAAGACGTTTGAATTGCAAGGTCAGCAGTTCAAACTCACCAGAAGCTTCTAGGAAACACTTCAGGGTTGCTATGGGTCAGAACCGACTCAATGGCACTTAACAACAAGTCTCCTTTTGCATTTCAGTTCTTAAAGTTTCTAGATGTTATTTGTAATGCTTTTATTTTATATGTTGTTGTTGTTGTTAAGTGCCGTGGAGTCGGTTCCGACTCATAGCGACCCTGTACAGGGTTTCCGAGGCTGGAAATCTTTATGGGAGCAGAACGCCTCATCTTTCTCCCGCGGAACAGCTGGTAGTTTCGAACTGCTGACCTTGCGGTTCACAGCCCGATTCGTAACCACTACGCTACCAGAGCTCCTTTATTTTATATAGTGAATTTTTATTTCAGTAGCATTTTTACAGGGATGATTTTCTTGTTGAGTTTTTTTTCTCTTCCCTTTAAAAAGCAGTCCTTTACCTATAATATACCAAAGTGTGCCTGCAATCTAGGTTAAAATATAAGCTAAATGAGGGAATGTGGTTTCAATTAAAGAGGATTTTGGAAAAAATTAGAAGGAGATGCATTTGCCTCTGGCCACCACCACTTCCTAGTGATTGTAGGTTTCATCCTTCTACCTTCTTTTTAGAATCCTAGGAGCTTGCTATCAAGTCCCTCCTTAGTTGCCCCTGCCCCAGCTGTGGTACCTCATGGTCTGAAACTTTATAATACTATCCAACTAATCCCTGTGACTTCATTTTATCTCAGTTCCTCCCTAGAGCTCTAGCTCACCTAATAAAGGGATATTTGCAAAGATGTTCTTGTCATTTTTCCCATAAAGATGCATTTTAGCAAGAAATTTATAGAAAGGCAGTATTTTGACAGAAAATCTTTGATGGATGATTCTAATGGGAGGTGTCTTGGGCAAGAGGCATACTTGTCTGAGGAAGACACATAGCCCTCTCAGATTTCTACCACCAAACATATCTTATAATATTTAAATTCCTTATGAAGAGTCAGATGTTAATTCAAAAAAAAAAAAAAAAAAGCCCCAGTGTGTCCCAAGCTGACGGAGAAGTGTTTCAGCCAAATCAGTCAAGGTACAAAATACAATTTTTTGGACTTTCCATAGCAAAGTGAATGAGTTAACATAATTTAGAAGATAAAGTATTTATATCCTGAGGTTTTCTTTATCTTTACTCTTTTTATAATATAGGATGTGTTTTAATTTTATGTTTTTTTTTTCCCCTCACAGCTAAAGAAGAAAACTTTGATCAAACTAGATTCTTAGAAGACAGTCTGCTAAATTGGTGAAAATATTCTAAATAGTATTCGTTTACTGTTGTATTCTTGCTGAAAACATGAGCCATGTGAATGAAAGCCTCACATTCTTTTTGCTCCATTTGTAATGTTAGAAACATGCATAGCTAGTTCTATTCTTTCTGAAGCAGAAATAATGTAGAGTTATTACCGCGTCAGGTCTTATGCCTTTTGAATTTTGCTTTTAGAGAATTTAAGATTGTAAGCCTAAAGCTTCTTAAATGTCATTTTGTTAAAACCAATAAATACCCTTCTTGATCTTGCAATTCTTAGTTTCGTATATTTATGCTGTTAACTATTTTGTTTTCTTGCCAGTCAGCAGTGATTCCCCATGTATCCACCCTGAAGGAGGAAGGATGGGAAAGAGGACTGTGTGTTTCTTTCTTTAGTTCATCCAGGAGAAGTCAGTTATAAAAAAGGGTAATGGGAAGGAATAATTGGGAAGAAGCCCAATTATTGGCTTCTGTGTGGTTGTTCAGAAAGGGGATGATTTATGAGACTGGAGTCAGTGAAATATTAACCTCCATAGGTGGAGGTCCCTGTTCACTCTTCAGAGACCTCCTGGAGTTCAGTTTAGAAACATGGATCTAAAAGTTACAATCTGCTCCTATCTATGCTGTCCAATGGAAGTATTCTTGTTCTTTAGAGGTAACCAGTTTTCATGGCTAAGCAGACTTAAAGACTGTGTGCTTTAATTGCCCAGAGCTCTAGATTTTGAAACTGCCTAGTTTCATAAAGTCACATTGATAATATAAGTGCATGATAATATGCTTAATTTACTCCCTTTCAAAGTCAATTTGGGTATAATATCATATATACACACACACACATATATATACACTACATATATACATATGTATATACTTACAGAAACAATACAGCAAACAATTATTTTCTTTTTGAATTACAGTAATAGCCATCACTTTAGTATTTTCTTTAACCTAACAAATTCAGAATTGCTCATGATGAACATCATAACTGGATGTCAATTCTTACTGTCATCAGTATACTGCCTTTATTTAATAAAGAATATATGTGAATTTTCCATAAATTCAAATTACAATTTCGCTGTTTGCATAATAAAAATTCTGCTTGTAAAATTTGCCTGTGTCTTGTATCATGTTGAATAAAGAAACTACATTAAAGTTAATGTAATATCAATCTCTGCTAACAAAATAATAGGCTAACATTTACAAAATCTAGGTGTTACAATAGGCACTTGTCATTAATCATGGTTTGCACATTTAATTTTAAAGT